TACAGGCCTCTCTCATCTTTTTAAGTGGGAGAACTTGCACAATTGGTGGCTGACTAAATACTTTTTTGCCCCACTGTATTTATGGAGTGTCCATGCTGGGCGACTGGAAGAATGCTTCTTATTCCCTTGTATAAGAAAGAATGCAAAAACTACAGAGAAATCTGTTAAATGTACCTGGGAAGTTATTTGGCAGAATTTTGGTTGAAAGAGTACAAGAACTAAAATTTGGGAAAGTCAGTGCAGTTTTATGCTGGGCAGAGGATGTCAGACCAGGTTTTTGCTCTTCAACAGGTTATTGAAAATGTATGAATGCAATAATGACATGATTTTTGAATGATTTTTTTAAAAAAGCATATAATAAAGTTGGCTGGGTTGGATTGAATTATGGAATGCTTTGCACAAATATGAAGTTGAAGGTTGGCTGCTGAACATAATAAAGAGATGTAAATGGTGGAAGTAAAGCATGAATCAAATTAAGTGGAATGCTTAGCAAATGGTTCAGCATTGAACTGGGAGGTGTGAAGTCTCCTTGTTTAATGTAATTATCAAAATATGTATGAGGAATGCTTGTTTTGATGTTAAAGGTATGTTGACTGGGGATATGAACATAGTATATTTTTGTATGCAGATGGTGCCATTTTATTGGCTGAGAACATAATGATCTGCAGTAAATATTAGTTAAGATTGTAAGATGCAATGGATAATGTGGATCTGAAAGTTAATGTTATCAAAGACCAGGGTAATTGTATTTGTCAGGGAAAAATGGAGTGAACTATTTTAACATACTAAATGGCAAGTGCTAGAGCAAATACATTCATCTGTATACAATAGTAGAATGTTTACTAAAGATGGGGAAAATAGATGGGGAAATTTAAAGATGTGCATATCTTGATAGAGAGGTAGCAGGTAGTGAATGGTTTTTTGTTTTGTTTAATGTCTTATTGGTGAAATATAACAACCAGAAGATATGATGAAGTACAGTAAAAAATATAACAGTGCTAATAAAATAAATAATAGTAATTAAATGAGTGACAGTTGAAGAAACTAAAGATATATCCATAAAGTGTTAATATAGAACTAGCTCAATCCTTTAACATATTATTCAATGTAGACATATAAACCATCTATTGCTCCATCTACAGGTAGTCCCCAATTTAAGAACGAATTCCATTCCCAAGATCTGTCCTTAAGTCGAATTTGTATGTAAGCTGGAACAGTATTATCATATAATACTGTAGAAGTAGTATTGTGCAATGAACTCAAACCACTGTGTATTTAACTCAAATCATTGTGTATTTAACTCAAATTTTACTACAACAGGCTCTGTTCTTAACTATGGGTCTTCTGTAACCCAGGCATACTCAGTTTTAATACAATATGTTATTTCAATACAGTGGCATTTATATAACAGATTCTTAATATTCTATTATTTAGGTGCCTTAGAGTAATGAATATAGATAAGAGAAAAAAAGTGGATATTCTATCAATATTAATTACAGTTTTGGATATTAATGTTACAAGTATTATGACTATTTGACTTTTTCTTCAAAATTAATGTTGAAAATGAAGTTAAAAAATTAAGGAAAAGCATACATCAAGGTGTTTATTTTATAATAAAGGTTTCTGTCTTAATCTAAATTACTTGGTATTAGTCTCCATCGTGTTGTTACTTGATGTGTGTCCGTGTGTGTTTGTGTAGGGATATAGATATATGTATCTTTATACATGTTGATAAGGAAATAATAAGTAACCAAAACAAAGTAAGTTTAGCAAATTTGAAATACTAAAAAAGTAAATTTAAAAAAGGCAAAAAAAAAGAGAATTAAAAAGAAAAAGTGGGGGAGAAGCTGCAAATCTAGAGCAACCCCAAACTAT